AGATGCACAAATATGTACCGGTCCGGGCACACCAACCCCGCCCCACTACTGGTGTTAAATGAAACGTTCCTCGCGTGCAGCTCGGCGACGCGTCGCCCCTCTTCAGCCGTGAGCCGCAGTGTGTCGCGGGCGGCGTCGAAGGGAAAGGCTGGCAGCACATCGTCCTCATCATCGGCCCACGCTGAGTTCACAGATGGGAGCTTATTGGGGGCACCAATCGTTGTCGAGGCAGAAAACCTTCGGCTGGCGTCACCAAGAGTCACGATGCAGACAAACAGAATCGCAAGCAAGGCGACTCGAGCCTTGAAGGCTATTGAAGACATGGCGACGGAGCTGCCGGATACTCTCTACCAAGATCTATTCTTTCGTGAGGAAGCAAAAAAGAAGATCGTCTATGTGCCGATACACCACTGGTGCCGCACCGCCATGACGCAAGTGGCGGAGCACGCACAGCACCTCGGAGGGGCACTCGCAGTCTGCAGCACGATGCTGCCGTGTGGCCCACGGCAGGAGATCAAATCATATGAAACAGTGAGGGGAGGGTGGCACGCACAACACACTATTCGTGTGTATTTGGTCTGTGGAGGACCTAATATTATTATCGTTCCTCCCAGGGCAAGGGTGGTGCTTACTGTTTGAGAGGTAAATTGTAAGAGGGGGGCATATGGTACCTTTCTCAGTCTTGCTTCCGGCCGTCAAGCTATGTTCACCGCAACGTCCCCGAAAGACGTCCCGGATGAGTCCCCCTTGTCCACAACCCATGTCACACTGAAGGCAGGTCGAGAAAAGCGCCTCTAACCCACCAACCGCGCAGGGCGGAGGGGGCTGGGCTGGGGGGCTGTCACCACTGACCGCACCGGGGAGATCATAAACAACATCTGATAAGAAAAAATAACTGTCGTTCGTTCATAAAGCACATGAACGCCTGCAGAGTTGCTTATGAAAAAATCCTAACAACAAAATAAAAAGTCATAAATTACACTATAACGAAGGGAAAAATAAACAAAAAAGTAATGCGGATTATCATTCATACGCCGCTCGCAACGGTGACTTGTCCATCACGTCGTGCGACGCCATGCGAATGTACTCAGGACCCATGCCGTGGCAGGCCTGGCCCCGGCCCAGACGGGCAAAGCACACGTTCTGGGACACAGACGACAGCGAATTGCCACTGAAGTACACCCCAGACATCATCAGAAAGTAGTCCACCGTGAGGGCGCACAGTCCTTGGGCACAATCCTCAAACTTGTCGTAGTGCTGGGCGTCGTACACCCGTGCACCCCGTGACGTCAGCAACGGCAGCATGTGGGGGCCCTGGCCGTCGTGCGCAACGAACAGCGGAAACGAAAACAGCCGCAGTCCCAGCGACGCATGAAGCGCAGCAAGGTACGGGATGCTGGCGTTGCACTGCAGGTAGAGCAGCTGCAGCCGCTCCACATCCATGGACTTTTTGAACGCAGCTCCCAAGGGGACGAGTTTTCTGGCTATTTCCCGTGGGCATGACCCCTCGCGGTGCCGGAGGTGGACAGCGAAGAAGTGGTTGCGTGGAGTGAAGAAGCGGTCGAGGAACTCCGTGACCTTTCGCTCCACGAGTGCTGAGGGCCGCAGAAGACCGTAAATCGCTGCATGGTCCGCGAGGCCGCGACAGAGAAAAAAGGCAGTTGCCGCGCCGACCACAACGAGAGTTTCGTTCGCTGCCATCAGTTGTGGCACGGCACGGTCTCGGACAATGTTGATTTCATTTGGCCCCGCGTAAAGATAGGTGTCAACGTCCCGCACCAAAGTCATACCTTTCGCGACTTTCCGCACAGTTTTCGGCACGAGACACTGCCGCAAGCCGTAGCAGCCAACACTCGCGCCACGCAGCGCCCCCGTTCTGGCCAGCCGACTCCGCATCGTCGTATACGAAACCACACAATGGCGCCGCGCAATCTCTGAGAAATCATACAACGTTTCTGCTGTTGCATAATTTTTCTTTGCGTAGAACCACCCAAACACAGCGGTGCGATTCAGCCGCTCAGCCCACATAATCGTGTTCATCATCTGCTGCAGCTGGTTGTGGTGGCGACCAAACAGCCAGAGATGCACAAATATGTACCGGTCCGGGCACACCAACCCCGCCCCACTACTGGTGTTAAATGAAACGTTCCTCGCGTGCAGCTCG